GCGACACATCGCCGATAGATCGGCGATAGGCGGCCTCCGACAGTGAATCCGCACCTTCCTGGGCAGGTTGGGGCCATCAGGCCCCTTTCGGCGATCCATGGGCCATTGGGGGTCGATGCACCCCCCCCAATGCCTATCCCCCCCTACAGTCGGGGCGTGGACCTAAGGAACCCTAAATAAGGAACGAGGCGCCTTTTTTCCATAAGTTAACCTTCGATGGCCTGTCGAAGACATAAGGAAAGCCTGAGGCAAGCCGTGAAACACTTCAGGAACGCGGAGCCCCTCCCCAACAAAAAGGGTTCCTTCTTCAGGGCCCCGACTCTATCGTTGCCCCCGCCTTGAGCCCCCGACGCCTACCGCCGCCGCCGCCGCCGCCGCCGCCGCCGGTGCCAGCGGAGGCCGCCCGCCGCGGCGCGGGCCGCGGCGCGCGCGCGGCGGCCCGCGCGGCGAGGCTGGCGGCTGGGGAGGGCGGTGCGGGGCCCGCGGGCCGAGGGGGCGGCGCGGGCCGGAGGCGGGGGAACGAACAGGTACTGGGCGTCGCTGAGCGGGGGGCGATGAATGGGGGGAAGTAGGGGGCCAGAAATCGTGGGGGGTAGAGGTAGGGTTCGCATGTGGCCCCCCTAAAGGAGGAGGAGGAGGAGGAGAGAGGAGGAGGAGGAGGGAGGGAGGGAGGGAGGGAGGGAGGGAGGGAGGGAGGGAGGGAGGGAGGAGGAGGAGGAGGAGGAGGAGGAGAAGGGTTCGCATGCGGCCCCCCAGGGGGGGTGGAGAAGGATGCAGCTGTCGTGCCCTCGAGGGCCCCTCGAGGGCCCCTGCAGAAAGGGCCCGCTCAGGGCCCCCATGCAGGGTGCACCTTTCCAGGCACCTTCTCTTCGGCCCTCGAGGCCCCCCCCCACAAGGGGCCCAGGAGGGCCTCGTTTCTTCGGCTACACGCAAGAGTGACCCTGGGCAAGAGTGACCTTTGATGCGCGGCTTTTTGGGGGCCGCGGGGGACCAAACCTGGGCGCGCAAGCCGCTGCTCCTGCTGCGTTTTCAGCCATCTGGGGGCCCACCTGTGCCCGCACCAAAGGTCACTCCGGCGAAAGGTCACTCTGACGTCTAATCGATTCCTGCAGCCCTCGCTGCCCCGCCAGAGATCCCCCCCACACTGCGCAACGCCCAGAGATACCGACAGCGCCACTCCCCGGATGGTGAGGCCCCGGGCTGCGCGCAGAGGGCGCCCATCCCAGGTGCTCCCGCGGGCGGGCGGCCTCCACAGCCTGGAGCTCCGCGCCCCCGGGGCTGGGATGTTTGATGGGCCCGTTTCCCGCCACCGCCACCAGCAGATGGGAGGGGGGAAGGAGGTGGAGCATGAGGAGGAGGAGGAGGAGGAGGAGGAGGAGGAGGAGGAGGAGGAAGACCCCCTCCCTCCCCCTCCTACTTGTGGTGGTGGTGGTGGAAACCAAGCCCACCAGTGCTGAGACCGGCCCAGACCACCCGGGGGGCCCCGTCGAGGCCAGCTGGGGCCACTCGGGGAGCCCGTCGAGGCCAGCTGGGGCCTCTCGCGGGCCCTGCCGAGGCCAGCTGCGGCCTACCAAGGGGGCGCACTGCCGGTGCGCAGCCCGAAGCCTTGGCCATCCCAGGACCCCTCCCAGGGCGAGCAGAGCCATGTCCACGGCCTCGCGGCCTATAGCCTCCAGAGCGCGATCCCGTGGATGCGCGGTCGCAGGGAGCCCTTCCGCGCGGGGGGGCGCCCGCGAACAAGAGCACCCTGCACCCCTGGGATCGCGGCCCTGGGGCCCAGCCCGCGGGGCCGTGGATGTGGATGCGTCCCCCGCCCACGAGCTACTCCCTGACTACATACCAGACCCCGCCAACCCAACCCAGATGCCCCAATTTCGAAGTGGGGGGGGGTACGGGTTCCATGTGTTTTTTCATTGTTCCCCGACCCCCACACACCGGAAATGGAGGGCAAATTGAGGCCTTCGGGTTGGGTTGGGGTGGATTGGTGGGTGGTGACTCCCGGGACCTTTCCTGGGCGGCGCTGGGACCAGCACTCCGAAGAGAATCCCGCAGTGGGGGCCAGGGCTCTCCAGGACGAGCAGCGTTATCATTATCGTTTCTTCTCGGGGGCGCGCAATCATGGATTAGCGATCTATGGATTTGGCGCGCCGTCACCAAAACCATGGATCGGGGGAGGGGCCCTCCCCCAAATGCGGCCGGTGCCGCCTCGCTCGGCGGCGGAAGTCCGCGATTTCTCATGGAAACGGGACCCGTCGCCAATCCACGCCCCCTTGCTCCATGCTTGCGATCGCCTGATCCTCCTCTGGACATCCGATGTCGTGATTTTGTGTTGCATCTTCGGGGGGGCCCTGTCTGTCCCGTCGCGCCGCGATCCACGTCGAATCCGTGTCGAATCCGTGTCGAATCCACGTCAAATCCGCGACGAGCCCACGTCGGAGTACGAGAGAAGACGCCCATTGACAGGCCAGGAGAGGTCCCCCCGAAGATGCACAGCAGGTGGTCTTGTTCACAGCGCTGCTCCCCCGAGGTGTGGACCCCTCCCTGGGATCGGCGCTTCATCCGGAGCCGTTTAAAAAGAAAAGCATGTGTACACTCCTCGAGTTGTGCGTGCCATCGCTGCGCAGGGGCCATGCTGATCTTCTCTGCACCGTTCCAAATTTAACGGGTGCTCCCCGAAGGGGAACCCAACATCCGGAGCCGCTTTTTGACGGCCCTGGGGCCCGACCAGAGGCCGAGGAAGGCCAAGAACCTCCCGCCGTGATCCTGCTGCGGCGCGAGGGCGTCAGGGTGCGCCGCCAGCGCGCGCGTCCGTAGCCCCCTGCCGTGGGGTCGTGCCCCGGGGGACTCGGGGAGTGGTGGGTGTGGACAGCTGCCCGCCCAGGCGGGGGCGGGCAGATGTCCAAATCTCTCTATCACCCCTGGAGCTCCCTGGGCCACGGCCCCGTTGCGGTGGACCTGGACGCAGCGCCCCGCAATTACGGACAAGGGTGAGGGGACGGCGGGGACGTCGGCAGTCAACAAGCAACAACAAACAATAAGCAACAAACAACAAACAGCAAACAAGGAACAACAAAGAACCAGCACAAAACACAAAACACCAAACACCAAGCACAAAACACCAAACACCAAACACAAAACGCCAAACCAAAAACAACAAGCAACAAACAACAAGCAGCAACAGCAACAGCAAGAGCAATAGCAACAACAACCACAACAACAACAACAACAACAACAACAACAACAACAACAACCACAACAACAACAACAACAATAGTCACAACAACACCACCACCAACAACAACCACAACAACATCAGCAACACACAGCAACAACAATACGCAACGCAGAACATCACTTCAGCCACGCGCCCAGGGACAGTGAATGACCGTTCGGCCCCCTCACTCTGACATATGAGCGGCGACAGGAATTCGAGTCCTACGTGAGATGGCGCAACAACCGTAAGCCGCGGCTTGCGCGGGCCGCTGGCGAGGCACGTGACATTGGAAGCAAGGACGCTTACGCGCGGCCATGCGCGGGAAGCTGTCGTACGAATGTCGGCGCAGCCGACCAGATCATATGGTACGACCATCTTACAGTGTATCGTTACCCCAGCGGTATGGCCATCAAGCGCCCGCCACCCCGCATGTACTGACCATAAGACCACTGAGCGCGAGCCCCTTCAGAGGCGACCCGCATATAGCAATTATAAGTATGTCTGGGTGACGCCGATCTACCGTCGCTCACAAGCTGTCGGTGCACATACATGGGGGGGAGGCTCTTTGGGGTAGAAACAAGATACCGATACCTCTACTCCCTGGACCTCTCCTGGGGTGCGTTCTGACCAGGACTTCGAAGCGGGTCCAGCGGTGGCGACGAGGACCGCCCAGGGGGCCCAACAAGGGGGAACACAGGCGAAGGGTAGCGCCCTCGTTCTCCACGCGGTGTGCCGCGCTGGCTTGCCTCCGCAGGCCGCGGCGTAGGGTCGCCTTGCCGTCTTGCGCAAGACCTGCTTCATTTTCGTCGCTCACACGGCGGAGACCCCCCACCCTGCTCCTCCTCCTCCTCCCCCTCCCCCTCCTCCCCCCCCTCCCCCTCCTCCCCCCCCCCTCCTCCTCCTCCTCCTCCTCCTCTCCTCCTCCTCCTCCTCCTCCTCCTCCTCCTCCTCTCCTCCTCCTCCTCCTCCTCCTCCTCCTCCTCCTCCTCCTCCTCCTCCTCCTCCTCCTCCTCCTCCTCCTCCTCCTCCTCCTCCTCCTTCCTCCTCCTCCTCCTCCTCCTCCTCCTCCTCCTCCTCCTCCTCCTCCTCCTCCTCCTCCTCCTCCTCCTCCTCCTCTTTTCCTCCTCTTTTCCTCCTCTTTTCCTCCTCTGTTCCTCCATGTTCCTCCTCTTTTCCTCCTCGTTTCCTCCTCTTTTCCTCCTCGTGTGCTCCTCTGTTCCTCCTCTTTTCCATCTCCTCCTCCTCCTCCTCATCCTACTCCTCTGTTCCTCCTCTTGTCCTCCTCTTTTCCTATTATTTTCCTTCTCTTTTCCTCCTCCTCCTCCTCCTCCTGCTTCTCGTCCTGGCGGTACATGGGGGGGGGCGAAAGGGGCATCTCTCGGGCCCTAGCTGCTCTGTTGGGGGGCCCCACAAGGCCTCTTTTCTGACGCAGGGAGGGTCTGGGGGATCCGTGGACCCTGAGAAGAGCTCCTGGCGTCGCCCATGTCCTTCGCACCAGGTGGTGTTCGCCAGGACGGGTCGACATGGCCCGAGGAACGCCACAGAAAGATTGAGTCTACGGCTCTGGTCGCACTGTTGGCGATGTTGCAATTTCTCGCGACGCAGGATCTCAGGAATTATCCACCGCCCTGGCCATGCCCACCCTGGGCCCAGCAGCGGTGCACGCGCCCCCCTGGCTTGGCCGCCGAGAGAGTCGAGTCCTCGGAGCTCTGGGGAGGGGAGGACCTCCCCTCCCCAGAGCTCCCCGGGAGGTGGGAAGCGAGCACGAGCGGGCATCGGGCGCCGGTCACATCTCGTCTTGGTACCCGCCGGCCCGCCCCCCAACGTGGGCGAGCCCGAAGGGCACGTAGAGGTCGCCGCCGTGGTCGCCGTCGTCGTCGCCGTCGCCGTCGCCGTCGCCGTCGTCGTCGTCGTCGTCGTCGTCGTCGTCGTCGTCGTCGTCGTCGTCGTCGTCGTCGTCGTCTCTCCCTTGACAACGACGCCAGTGCCAGGCGGTCCCAGACGTCGCGACGAGGGCGCCTCGAACAAAGGAAGTATATGCTTGCCAGCGTGGACTCCACACTGTGAGTTGTTGCACCCTGGGTGTGTCAGCTGTGTGGTGCCACATGCGTGGACATGCGTGGTGAGAGCTGCGTGGTGGTGAGAGCTGTGTGATGTCAGCTGTGTGGTGTGAGCCATGTGGTCTACAAATGTGTGGTGCAAGCTGTGCCGTGTACAGTGGGGGCCCGACCACAAGAGACCTTCTACAATAAACCCCAACCCTGATGAGACCCCAGGACGTCCACCGCCTTCAGGCGTGGGAGTGCCACGCTCTCCACGGCGAACCCATCGAAACCCGAGAAGCCCAGGGCACCCTGCAGGCGAGCAGGGTGTTCCTCGGCACGGCCCAGGAAGAGAGGGGAGGCGGAGGAGGAGGAGGCGGAGGAGGAGGAGGCGGAGGAGGAGGAGGAGGAGAACGAAGGGGAGGAGTAAGCGAAGGGGAGGAGTGAGCGAAGGGAGAGGAGGAGGAGGAGGAGGAGGAGGAGGAGGAGGAGGAAGGAGGAGGAGGAGGAGGAGTGAGGAGGAGGGATGAGGAGGAGGAGGAGGAGGAGAGGAGGAGAGGAGGAGGACGACGAGGTGGAGGCGGAGGAGGAGGAGGCCACGCGGGCGTCGACGAGCAGCCCCACGGGCGCCCGGGGGGGAGGCGCCAGCCACCACGGCACGGGGGCGCCCAGCGGGGGCGCCTGCTCCGGCGCCCCCGCTGGGCGGGGAGCCCCGCGCAGGGCCCCAGCCACCCACGGGCACGGGGTGCCGAGCCTCGCGCCGACGGGCCCCCGAGGCCCGACGAGGCGAGCTCCCTGCATAAGGGGACCACACGCGAACCGTACCACATTATACCCCCTCACGGTTTCTCAGGGGGGAGAGGGGGGGGGGTCCCTTGGCTCGGGAGCTCCCGAAGGAAGCGAGCCCCACCCTCCGACTCAGAAATCGTGAGGGGGAGGGGGAGGGCTCGCATGTGGCCCGCTGCTGCACCCCGAAGCCGGGAGAGGCAGGCCAGGTCGGAAATACCCGCGCGACGTCGGAGGGCTGCCGTCGGGGCGCTGACCCGAGGAGCCCGAAACAGGGAACGGGGCCCCTTTGCCCCCAATAATTGACACTTCGAGCTCCCATGGAACACCTTCTAGGAAAACCTTCGGCAAACCGTGAAACAAGCGAGGAACACCGAGCCCCTCCCCAACGAAGCAGGGTACTTCTGCAGCGACCAGACTGTATGTTCCCAGGGGGCCCTGGATGCCTCTCAGAGCTCCCAGAGGTCCTCCACAGAGGCCCTCAGAGGCCTCCAAAGGCCTCCAGGCGGATCCTGACGCCCAGCTCCTAGAAAGCTTCAGACCTTGTATCCGCTGGCGGTCCCCACCAGGCAGCGGCTGCGGGAAGTCCGAAGTCTGTTGCGTGCGACTCCACAGTGCGATACTCCCCGTGCTTGACTATATATGTATGGTCGCTTCGCATACTCATGATGTGTACGCATCGTACCTCATGTGCGTTGCGTGTGGCCATTAGTTAAATCGGTGAGCCATGCACGATGTGATGTTGCGTCCTTGTGCGATTGCACACTCGCTTTATCGACTATGACTATGTCTGTAAGGGATGCATGCGAGAGGCGTTTATCGTTATTCCTCGTGATGCCACCTGTGTATACCAATGCTGAGTGCTTTTGGCGCATATGAGTGGTGGATGCGACTTGTGTGTGTGTGATTGATGAGTGGTGCTGGTGCAAAATATTGAGATTACGAGCGGATGTTATTGGTGCTGGCTATTCACGTGTGTGGCTGATGTAGGTGACTGGTGTCTAAGACTGATGTACACCTTAGATGTATGATATCGATGCCTGTGTCGGATATGCATGTCATGTAGATATGGACGGTACGTATGGAGTGTGCTGGTGTCTAATACTGATGGATAGTGCAGTTCACGGTGATTGTTGTATGTTGTTGATGTGTGCGTTCGAACTCGGATAGTGGTGTATAGTGTTGATGTGTGTGTGTGTGTGTTGCTGGTGTGTGTGTGTGTGTGTGTGCCTGCTGTCTGCTCTTGGGGTGACTCCCAGATGCGTGGTATTGATGCATGCGGCTGATGTGTGTGTGTGTGTGTTATCCGCCGCGTGCCCCGTGCCTCTGTTGCACGGCGTGGGCGTACCATCGGGTCCTTTGCCCGAATCCTCTGCACGTCGCTCATTTCTAATCGTGCTCAGTTCTAAGCGTGATCGCTTCTGGCTGTGCCCGGCCCCCTGGTCGCCAGGAAGAGGCCCACGATAGCACAGTTAGAACTGACAGGATCGTGGCCCCCCCAAAAAAATCAAAGCACGTTCGAAGACTTAGAAAGTGTGTGTTCCCAATCTTGACGAACGAACAACACACACATGTCCATATGAGGGTCGGAGGGAGGAGGACTGGCTATGGGTATGGGTGCTGGTTGTCGGACCGCTGGGGAGGCTCCCGTTCGAGCGGGGACCCCCATCCGACAACACGCACCCATAGCCCCACCTCCTCCTGCTCCTCCTCCTCCTCCTCCTGCTCCTCCTCCTCCTCCTCCTCTCCCTCCTGCTCCTCCTCCTCCTCCTCCTCTCCTCCTCCTCCTCCTCCTCCTCCTCCTCCTCCTCCTCCTCCTCCTCCTCCTCCTCCTCCTCCTCCTCCTCCTCCTCCCCCTCCTCCTGTTGTTCTTTTGTCACAATCTCGAGTCCCGTGGGGATGGCTGCTGCCTGCTGACGAGCGGCGGCCGTCCCTGGGGCCCACGGGGGCCCGCGCGGAGCGCCGGGGGGACGCGCCGGCAAGAATTTCGACCGCGTTTTCGGGCCGCCGTCGGCTGGAGCAGGAGCAGGAGGGGGAGGAGGGGGAGGAACACGAGGAGGAGGAGGAGGGGGAGGAGGAGGAGGAGAAGGAGGAGGAGGAGTGAGGAGGAGGAGGAGGAGAGGAGGAGGAGGGGAGGAGGAGGAGGAGGAGGAGGAGGAGGAGGAGAGGAGGAGGAGGAGGAGGGGAGGAGGAGGATGAGAGAGGAAGGAGGAGGCGGAGGAGGAGGAGGAGGAGGAGGGGAGGAGGTAGGAGGAGGAGGAGGAGGAGGAGGAGGAGGAGGAGGAGGGATGATGATGATGATGATGATGATGATGATGATGATGATGATGATGATGATGATGATGATGATGATGATGATGAGGAGGAGGAGGAGGAGGAGGAGGAGGAGGAGGAGGAGGGATGAGGAGAAGGGAGGAGGAGGAGGAGGAGGAGGAGGAGGTTGTTTGAAAAGGCCCAGGTCCGAAAGCCTCGAGTCTCCCTTGGGCTCAGCGCCGCTCCCCGCCCGACCCGCTCGGAGCCACGAGGGCCCCAGGACGGCCCAGGAAGGCCCAGCGCCGCTGCACGACCGCCCCAGGACGCCCAAGACGACCCCAAGACGGCCCCAGAGCCTCCAAGACGCCCGAAGAGGCCTAGCCAAAGTCATCGGAGTGCCCTGTGTGCTTGAAGAATGCTGGCCTTCTTGCCTTTTCGGCTTCCCGACGCTCCAAAACGACCCAAGGGGGCCCCAAAGATCGCCCGAAGACGGCCCAAGAGGCCCCCAAGACGGCCCCAAGACGGCCCCAAGACGGCCCTAGGAGCGCCCAAGATGGCCCAAGAGGGCCCAAAGACGGCTCCAAGAGGGGTCGGTCCCAGATGGGGAACCCAAACGGACATTTCGAGCCCTCGGCCCCAAGGAGCCTCCTGGAGGCCCCAAGAGGCCCCAAGAGACCCCAAGAGGCCCCCAAGAGGCTCCCAAAAGGCCCCACACTGCCCCGAAGAGGCCCCCGAGATAGATATCAATGGACGGCGTGACGCCTTGACGCCGTGACGCCTGTCCTACTGTTCTGTAATTGCGTCTGTCCGTGACATCGGGCAGGTTGGCCTGATACTCAGGATTCTAAGGATTCGTGAGGCCTGGCGGCCACAGTACGCAGGGCTGCCAGGCGGGATACCCGCGACCATCAGGGGTCCTGGGGCCTGGAGAGCGCGGTATGCAGAAATGGCGGGCGCAATGCTCGGGACGCCCCCGAGTCCTAGGGCCTGGCGGACGCGGCCACCAGGGCTGACGGGCAGGCTTTTCCTAAACCCAGCGACCCCAACCTGTCGGGTGGGCAAACCCTTCCAACGACGACGACGACGACGACGACGACGACGACGACGACCACGACGACTGTAATCACGACGACGACAACTTCGAGGAGCCATCTCGGGCGGGTGTGAGGGCCTTCCCTAAACCCATGTCTACGGTGTCATCGACGGTCTGGTCAACAACACGTTCTTGATTTTTAACGACCGGCAGCCAATAGATTTCAGTGACCAGGGCTTCGCCAAAATGAAGGTTGCAGGCCTCCTGGCTATGCTCCCTGCACCTCCCCCCGTGTGGACGCTACTCTGGCGATGAATGTCTTACCACGGTACGAGTGGCAGCGGGCAGTCCAACCACTTCCATTGATGCCGCCTCAGTAGCGGTTCTGTGAGAGAGCATGCTTCGTCTCAGGACAAGGGCTTACAGTGCAGTGGTCGTGCCCACTCTCGCGCACCTGCCGGACTTGCAGGCTGCTGCGAGAGGTCGAGCTGCGCAGACGAAGCAGCTGGCGCAAAGCCATCACCTTTTATGTCTCGCCACACGGGCGCGCACGATTCTGTTTCTGCAGCTCCTCTGGTTGTTCGAATTTGCTGGGCCGTCGTCACGCCAGGCATCCTTGCTGGGCGGCGCCGTGTGGAAGGCGAGGTTGTCAACGCCGACGCGAAACCACATGTCCTATGTATTTGTACTTTCGATACAGAATACGGGGCCCCCAGAAGTCCCGACCCTTTCCCTAGAGGCCCCCTAGATGGGGTCCGAGTAGACGGGGTCGGAGGATCGCGCCGCGTCGCCGATGCATCACCGATGCATCGACGATGCATCGATGATGTATACGCGACGTCGGCGATGCGTCAGCGACGTCAGCGTGGAGAAAATCGGGCTCCACATCGAACCGCATCGCCGATGCACCGGCGATGCGGAGCGATCCTCCGACCCCATCCAATTACTCCGACCCCATCTTGGAGGCCTAGAGATACTGCCCCCAGAGGTCCCGACCCTCTCCCTGGGGCAAGCTTTTCATCCTGTGTTGCTTTCCGGTGGCCCCGGGGCCTGGCGAGAGCGCCGACAGCGGCGACAGCCCTCCGCACTCGTGCTCCGCGCCTCGGAGGCCTGCAGAAGAGGAAAAAACAGCATACACAGAAACTGTTGGCGCTCCGCGCGGATTTCTTGGATCTACGCTGGACCCCCTCCCTGGCGCGCGGAGCGCGCCAGGGGCGGCGCTGGAGGCGCCGCGGGGCGGGGGGCCCAGCGCGGACCTCAGAAATCTCGGCGGTGGACAAACATCCCTTTAGTAAACCACCCCTTAGTGAAAACGGCCTAGCACCGAAACCGACGGACCTGGACGCGCAACAATGACGGCCGCGACGCCCCCTCGCGAACCGAAAACGGCCAATTCGCTAATCGACGTGTCAGGGTACAGTCGGCCTTGATAAGAGAGGACACGCGAGAGGACACACGACCCTTCCGAGGGCCACGTCGCCACAGAGATGCAGGAGGCACGGGTCGCAAGACACAGGACACGAGGGCACCCGTGATCCGGAAAGGTCGACCTACTAATCCGGGCCGCCTGCAAGAGGCCCATCAACCTCCGATGTTGCTTCTTCGGCGACAGCCCTCCGCACTCGGGCCCCGCGCGTCGGAGGCCCGGAAACGTCCTCGTCCCACGGAGGAGGAGGAGGAGGAGGAGGAGGAGGAGGAGGAGGAGGAGGAGGAGGAGGAGGAGGAGGAGGAGGAGGAGGAGGAGGGGAGGAGGAGGAGGAGGAGGAGGAGGAGGAGGAGGGGGGGGGGGGTCCTCTTGGCGGGCGGGCGCGCAGCGGGGGCGGATCTCATCCTCTCGGCGGCCCGCTCCTGCGCCAGCGCCTCGCGCGCCGCCATCGCCTCCATGTCTCCCTCCGACCTCGGCGCGGCCGAGGCCCCCGGGCAAGATCGGCGGCGAGCGGGGGGGGGGGAAGGAGGGGAGGCAACTACTGGGAGGTGTTCGTCGGAAAGGTTGGGGAGGATTAAGCCCCATGCGGGAGCCGTGGCGCCGGAGTGGGCCTCGGACTACGCAGGATTAGGCCGGATTAAGCGGGATTAAGCGGGATTAAACGGGATTAAGCCGGATTTAGACGGACTTCGGACCAGGGCAAAATCAGATTTTGACCTCCCAGGAGTTGCATCCGAAGAAAGGAGAAGGAGAAGGCCTTCTCAGAGGGCGGCGGAACTCCTCGGAAGCCCCCGCGCCTCCTGGGATTTTGTTGTCCTGTCCTCGGGGGAGGCTGAGGGAGCTTCTCTCGGCGGTAGACACACCTCCCTTTAATAAACCTCACCTTAATGAAAACGGCCTGGGACCGGAAACGGCGGACCTGGACCCGCAAAAATGACGGCCGCGACGCCCTCTCGCGAACTGAAAACGGCCGATTCCTCAATCGACGCGTCAGGGTCTATCAACCTCCGATTCTCAGAAGGCCCAGGGGGCTTCCGAGCCTTCTGAGAAGGCCCGCCCCTTCTCGCTTCCCCCCCTCTCTCGCCACCGATCCCTGGGAGGCGTCCTGGGACCAGACCGTTTGGATGTTTTCCGGCCTCCTACGGCGCTTTCGTCGCCGTCCTGCCCAGAACGCGCCCCAGGGCAGTGCCCAGAGGCCGGCGTTTGAAGAGGGCCCAGGTTTAGGTCGGGCCCGTCCCCATACAGGGGGATGTTGGATGAAAAATTAAACATAGTAAAACAAAGATTCCGAAAATATTGATAACATAATCAAAAAATTGTCCCAAGACTATGTTTGACTATTCTTGAATACTCCAGTTGTACAGGGACAGGCCCGACTTAATCAAGCCCAGGTCTCCAAGCATCGCTTCCCCCCTCGCTCGTCGGGAGCGGCCAAGAGGAGGGTGTCCAAGCGGCGGGGGTGCAGATCATGACCGGCGACATGAGCGCTGCCCCGGCGGGGGGGCAAGGGACGTGATGTAATGAGAAGAGGCGCCATGAAATCTGGGGAGATATCATGGCCCCCGCCATGATATCCAGCCCCCCCTAGTCTTAAGTCGGGCCTGTCCCCCTACAGGAGGATTTTCGACGGAAAAAAAGATACCCCAATAATAATAACAAAAATAATAATTAGAATAAAATAGTCCAACAGCATAGTCTGGGGACTATTTTTTGCATGTTGTTTGGCCTTTTGGGGGGGCATTCTGGGGGTAATTATTATTTTCGTCGAAAATCCTCCTGCAGGGGGACAGGCCCGACTTAACCCCAGTCATCGCCCCCCTCTTTGCCGCCCCCGCCCTCGCCGCCGACGGGAGCCACCCCTGGGCAGGAGGGGCCTCCAGGCGCGCGGCCTGCCGACGGGGGGGGGGGCAAGATTCATGTCCATATCCAGTGTCTCTTGGACTTTTTGGGAAGCGGCGCCACAAGGCCGAGGCGCACTGGATATGGATAAACATCGAGCCTCTGGGGGGCAAATTTATCCATATCCAGTGCGCCTCGGGTTTCTTGGGAAGGGAGCCCGAAACTCCATACTGCAGTGGATATGGACAGAAGTATTGCCCGCAGGGGCGGGGGGGGGGGGGGACGCAGAGAGGGACGCCCTGCGTGCGCCGTGGAGGCGCGCCCGCCGTGGACGAGGCGCGCGGCCGAGCCGGAGGCGCACAGCGCGAGCACATCACAGCATTCAGTCGGGCCTGCCCTCCGGCAGGGGGGGGCTTGGACAAAAAAAGAGAGAGAAAAAACAAAAAAAAGAAAAAAAAAAAAAAAAAAAAAAAAAAAAAATCCAAGAATCCCCCAAAATGGACAACACATTCTCCAGACATCGTCCCCTGCCTATGTTGTTTCTATCTTTGAGCATTCCTCCTGTAGAGGGACGTGCCCGACTCAATCATAGCAGGATCGCCGCCCTGGTGCACCGCAGATCAGCAGAGCATATCACACCACGAGCATACTATAGCATAGCATGCATAAGAGCAGATTCTTGCACGGCCCAAGCAGAAAGCGCACGCCGCCGACCGAGCATGTGCTACAACATTCCTGCACGCGTGCGTCGCCCCTTGGGGGGCCGAGCTTGCCTGGATGCTGCCGACCAGCCGCGGCATGCGACGCAGCGGCAGCGGCCCGCGTGCTCCGCATCGGCCCTCCGGCGCGCCCCGAAAGCCGCGCAATTGGAGGTCACTGCAGCAACACGTCACGGGCATGTGGCCGAGGGGGAGGAGGAGGAAGGAGGAGGAAGGAGGAGGAGGAGAGGAGGAGGAGGAAGGAAGGAGAGGGAGGAGGCGGAGGAGAGGAGAGGAGAGGAGGAGGAACAAGGAGGAGGAGGAAAAGGAGGAGGAGGAGGAGGAGGAGGAGGAGGAGGAGGGGGGGGAAAGGGAGGCTCCGACCCAGCGCGGCCGAGGGGGGGACCATCGCCCCCGCTGCAGGCCTCATGGAGGCGCTCTCGGGGGCCTGCAGGGACACCCGGACCTCTCCAGAGGCCCTCGCTGGAGACCCCGAGGCACCCCTCCGGACCTCGCTCCCCTCCCGTTCGCGCTCCTGGTCGCCGAGGTGCACGCAGTCTGCCAACCTGTCTGCCCGCCACGGTCATCATGGTGCTGCAACCAGTGGGGAAAACGAGCGCTCTAGCCGCCATCCTGCTGCTGCCGACGACCCTGCCGAAGGTTGCGCGAGGAACAGCTCCAGATGCCATCGCCACGCTAACAACTCTGACTGCTCCCCTACCCCATCTCTCCTAGCTCTGGTACAGGCTCCACGGCTCCGGCTGTCCCTCGCCTCGCGCTGGAACTTCCGCTCCTGTCTCCAATTCCTGTGCCGTGGTCTTCCGCCTCGTCTCCCGTGTGGTCTCCGGCATGGCCATCCGCACTGGCCTCCTTGTGTTTGAGCAGGGACCGACCGTCCCGGCATTCCTATAGTCCTACCACGACATGTTCTGAGAACCCACAAATGTTCTAAGAACAAAACAATGTTCTTAGAACATAAACCCGATGTGATAAAACAAGGCAGACTCCGCCAGAAATGTTCTAAGACCATTTCGTGGAAACCACAAAAGGTTCTTCGAACATTGTTTGGTAGGGCTATAGGCAAACCAGGACGCTTCGCCACTGCTTGATGTGTGATGTGTGGCCGCCACTGCTTGATGTGTGATGTGTGGCCTCCTGCGCGGTGCCGCGCACGGTACCCCCCGCATGGCTTCCGGCCCATGGTACCCCCCGCACGGTGCCCCGCCCGGTTCCCCGCACGGCCTCCCCCGCACGCGCTCTCCCGCTCGAGCGCTCCCCCGCACGCGCTCCCCCGCGCGTGCGCTGGGCGCCCTAGGCGCGACGACAGGCCCGGCGCTTCCCCCCCCCGCGGCGGCCCCCTCCCGTCCGGCGCCCCGGGCCCCGCGCATGCTGAGCATGTCCTCGCGCTTGTACATCTTCATGCCCATGCCCGTCTCGGCCTTCATCTTCGCTATCATGTCCTCGCCGCGCAGGGCGGGGCGAAACCCGCGCACGCACGGCTGCTGCGAGCACCGCGGGGCATCGGAGCACCCCGGTGCGCATCAGCTTAAGCGCATCAGGGCTGGTGGGCAGCGCGATGCCAGTGAGCCACCGCCGTGCGCGTGAGAGAGAGAGAGACGCGGGCGTCGGCGACGATCGTGCTGGGCGGATGTCCGTGTGGATGACGACGGTGGCGGCGGCGCAAGCCGAGGCGCTGAGGCCTGCGGAGGGTTGGGGGTCCCACAACAGCTCGGTGGCAGACCGTGCGGTGACCTCGGAGCCCCCAACGACCTCACCACAGCGGTCCGTCACCGCACGGTTCTGTGACCCTGGAGGCCACATGCCTCCCCGGACGTCCTCGGAGAAGAACGACCGGAGTCCCAAAACCACACGGCCACCCCGAACCCCACTGGCCCACCACGCAGAGTTGAGACGCAGCCAGGACGAGTCAGGACGAGGATGAAATCGGGTACGGATGAATCGAGAATCTCTGACGGCGGATCTGAGGGATGTATCGGGTGCCGGAGCCTTCTCAGAGCATTCCTGAACGGTCAAAGAGCGTCCCGGAGCGCTCCAAAACGGATCTATCCTCATCCTAGCCCCGTCCGATGAGTGGTCACCGCACCCTGCAGGGTGCGGTGACCCCTGCACGAGCGGTGCCACACATGTGTGGCACCGCTCGGGGCCCAGGGAAAACGTGACACAGTGAATCATCGACTCCCCAGAACTTTTGGGAAACGATGGGCAGCGGTAGAGAATGCGAAAAGCCAACACATATGGAAACATATGGGGAATCCTAGGATTTGTGTATCTATGTGTGTGTGTGCGTGTCCCTTGGCCCCTTCAAGAAGGGCAGGGGCCTCAGAGAACTCTGGCACAGGGCGAGCCCCTCGAGCGGGGGGCAGGCCCACAGTTGGACTTGTGCCAATCCTCGGCCCCCGCGTCGCCGACCCCTTCTCCAGGGGTAGTCTTTCGCCCCGAGCCCATCTGAGGGCAACGTCAGGGTGGGGACCAACCCAAGGGACGAAACATCGAGCGTGACTCGGCGGTACATCACCGATAGATCGGCGACCTGGGCGGGTGGGTTATCAGGCCCCCATCGGCCATGAGTGGACGATTGATGCGCCCGTCCCCCTGAGCCTATCCCCCCTAACGGTGCCACTGAAGAGGTCCCGACCCCTTCCCCAAGGGTAATTTGTCGTCCCGTCTCCATCTCTCTGTGTTCCCGCCGGTGCGCACCGTCGCGCCCCAACCGACGGCCAACCAGCGTCCACGAAAAGCACGCCTACTCGCCGAGCGCGTTCCACGGTTCGCAAAGTGCCTACTCGCAAGCGTCCGAAAGAACACCCGTCTGCTGTGATGTACAGAAGTCATCGTAGATCCCCCGCGGGGGATCCAGGCCATCTGCGAGTAGTTCCTCTGCGAGTCGTGGAACGCGCTCGTCGGTCTGCACTGCTCGGCGGGGTGCGCTCGGTGCGCGCAGCCTGGCGCGCGACGCGAGCTCGCGGCCCCGCGGCGCTCGCCCTCGGGCCCGGCTGGCTCTTGGGCCGCGGGCCTCTTGGCTGCCCTCGCCGGGGCGCGGCCCTCGGTGCCCAGCTGGCTCGTCCTCGCCGCCCGCACACCATCCGTGGTGGCTCTCTGCCTGCTCTGGGCCTTCCCCGCCCGCCCCCGAGAGGCCCAGCAGAGGCCCCAGAGGAGGGCCAGAAGCGGCCCCTCCGAGGCCTCCAAGCTGCCCCCAAGAGGCCTCCAGGCTGCCTCCAAGGGAGGGGCGCCCCCGAGAGCCCTCCCAGGAGATCCCAGCGAACGTCCAGCAGGCCTCAGACCCCCAGTGCAAGCGCGGTGGCGGGACTTGCCGTCGGCACTTGGCCATGGCCCGGGCCTTCGCCGCCCGCCTGCTTCGCCCTGCGCGCCCTGGCCTCCCGCCCTATCCATCGGCTGCCTGCACCGCCTCCTGGCGTGCTCGAGCGCCTGCGCCGCCCTCTTGCATTAGGTCGGGCCTGTCCTCCTACAGGGGAATGTTGGGCGAAAACTCAAAAAATACTCAAACACTGCTCCCAGAATGGCCCAAAATACTCAAAAAATAATCCTCCTGCGATGTTTTGACTATTTGGGGACATCCCTCCAGGCCCGACGGAACTCTTGCAGGCGCCCGCGGCAGCCTATATTCCGGCACGCGCTCTTCGCGCGGGGCTCGGTCGGCGCGCGACGCCGAGCTGTCTGCTCACGCGACTTCCGCCGGCGCCCGCGCACGCGGGGGCAGGCCTGCCCCCGCGCGGCCGTAAAACAGGGCTAGGATCGGGATAAATCGCTCCAGAGCGTTCCGGAGCGCTCTCACAGCGTTCCGGAACGCTCTGGAGCAGCCGCGGCGCCCAATACATCCTCCAAACCCGCCGATTCCCAGAGATTTCGAGCTATCCCGATCCGATGCTGTCCCGATCTTCGCGTCGCTTTACTTCTTCCGCCAGCGCCCGCGCACGCGGGGGCAGGCCTGCCCCCGCGCGGCCGACGGCCCCTCGTGCAGCCCGGCCGCCCCCCTGGAGGCCCGGGCGCGTGGCTCGCGGCGCCATGCCCCTCGCGCCGGGCCCTCGGCCTCGCGGGGCCCGGCCCTCCCCGCGCGCGGCGGGGCGCGGGCCCTCCGGCTCCGCAGCTCCGGGGCGAACAGACGAATGGTGGGCCTGGTTTCCTCCACCACCACCACCACCTCCTCACTCCTCCTCCTCCTCCTCCTCCTCCTCCTCCTCCTCCTCCTCCTCCTCCTCTCCTCCTCCTCCTCCTCCTCCTCCCCTCGCCGCGGTGTCCCCGCTGGCCTCGAACCCGGCGGCCAGCGCGCCCCCCTCGGCCGCCCGCCCGTCGATCGACCACCCCTCGGCTGCCTCGCCGCCGCCCGCGCGGTCCCCTTCTGGCATCCTCCCGGCGTGGTCCGCGCCGGCATCCCGCGCGCCTGCCGCGGCCTCGGCCTCGGCCTCGGCCTCGGCCTCGGCCTCGGCCTCGCCCTCTGCCGCGGCGCGGGCCTCGGCCTTGGCCTCGGCCTCGCCCTCTGCCGCGGCGCGGGCCTCGCTCGGCCTCGGCCTCGGCCTCGGCCTTGGCCTTGGCCTTGGCCTTGGCCTCGGCCTTGGCCTCGGCCTTGGCCTCGGCCGCACCTGCCGCGGCCTTGGCCTCGGCCTCGGCCTCGGCCTCGCCCTCGCCCTCTGCCGCGGCGCGGGCCTCTGCTCGGGCACCGCTGCGGGGCGGACCAGCCGCGAGCTCGCGGGGCGAGCTCGCGGCCGAGCTTCAACTTGCTGCGGACGTCCTGGAGCCATGTCCGATATAGCCCCGTGGGCCGAGGACGGGGCCCTGGAGACCGAGGATCGCAGAAGCACACCGGGGCTGACAAAAAAAGTGCTGTCGGAGATGTGGGCCTCCGAAGGAAACAGACGACGACGACGACGACGACGACGACGACGACGACGACGACGACGACGACGACGACGACGGCCAAACGAAGCCCTGACCGCGCGGAGCAGGACAGCCCCCCCCGAGCCGACGGGAAGGCGGGGCGGCTCGAGGGGCAGGGCGGGCACGAGGGTCGAGCACGACCGCCGCGAGCCCGACGGCTGCGGCGGCGACGGCGACGGCGGCGACGACGGCGACGGCGGCGGCTACGGCGGCGGCGGCGGCGGCGACGACGGCTGAGGCGGCGGCGACGGGGCGGCGGCAGGGCTCGCTGCGGGGGGGGGGGGCAACGAAGCAGCGGGCACGGGGCGGGACGCTCGCGCGGCCGCCCTCCTCGGTCTCCAGCTCCTTCTCGTCCCTGGGGTCGAATGCCTCGTCGGTCCACTGCGGGAGCTTGGGCAGCTTCCTCGGCTCCCTCCCTCTCTGGTTCCACTGCCTTGTCGTTCATCGGACATGAGCTGTACAACTGCTGCGTTCTTGTAAAAAGACACGAACAAGACCAAGCTCGAACTCCTTATCACCTTGGTGCACACCAAGCGGGACTGGCAATGCGAACTGAAAAAAAGCGGAGAAGCCGGCAAGGGCGGGAATATTAGACTGCGGTGATGGCCAGGCAGTACACGGTGGCTCTGATTCCACCTCCGCCTTCTTGTCCTCCTGCTGCCACTCCTGCTCCTGCTCCTGCCCCTCCTCCTCCTCCTCCTCCTCCTCCTCCTCCTCCTCCTCCTCCTCCTCCTCCTCCTCCTCCTCCTCCTCCTCCTCCTCCTCCTCCTCCCCCCCTCCTCCCCTCCTCCTCCTCCTCCTCCTCCTCCTCCTCCTCCTCCTCCTCCTCCTCCTCCTCCTCCTCCTCCTGACCTTGCTCCCTCAACCCGCCTCGGCCCACCCACCGACCCAGCCGCTCCTCTTCTTGTCGCAGGACTTCTTGCATATCCGCGGGCCCCCGGAGGAGCGCCCAGGGCAGGGGATCGCCCGAGGAACTGCTGCCGCCTGGCATGACGTCCACTCTCCACCTGCGACGACCTGGGTCAGGCTGATCCTGGGCCCTGGATCGGCGCATACTGAAGGGGCCCTGGGGCACAAAAATAAATACACAAACAAAAAGGTTTCCCCGTATTTCCCCATATTTTCTGGGTGCTTATCTTCCCCCCCAATCCCCACATGTTCCCACATTTCCTTGGGGATCGACGATGAATTGTGTCTGCGTGTTTGTGTTTCCCCTCCTGGCATACCCAGACATCCGACGACGTGACTTTTCGGGCCCGCGGCCCCAGTCCTACCACGAAATGTTCTTAGAACCCAATAACGGTCCAAGAGCACAAACAACGTTCTTAGAACAGAAGCCCGATGTGTCAAAAGAAGACAGACCCCGCCAGAAATGCTCTAGGAACATTTCGTGGAAACCACACAAGGTTCCTAGAACATTGTTTGGTAGCGCTAATAGGCGAGCCAGGACGCTCCGCCACTGCTTGACACATGAGGCCCCGCCCCCTTCCCTGGGGCAGCGAGTGCCGCCCTGGATCCATATTGCCGACGGCCTCCCCGGAGCACGAGAACGGAGCCCAAAAAGGCCGAAAAGCCACGGATAAAGAACCGCCGCTGTGCCGAAGAACTCACCGTCGGATGCCGGGGGGTCCAGTGGCGAAACACCCACCCTTTCTGAATTCGTGCTCGGGACACCACAAAGGACGCACGCGCCAAGCTATGTACATGAACGCGGCCCCTCGATCCGCGAGACCGGCCGCGCTATACGAACACTTGCGCAGTGCGTACTCTCGAGATCAGCGTGGATTCATGTACGTGTGCGTCCTTCTTTCGCTCCTGAGTGGAGGCCGCCGGCTTGTCAACACGCGCGGAAAGCAGGCGCGCCTGGCCGATGCGGGGGCCTGGGACGGAGGCACCGCCCCGAAGGCCCCCGAGCACTCCCCGGAAATCGCAAGAGGCCCCCGAAAGCCTGCAGAGAAACCTCCAGAAGCAGTCGAGGCCGTCCGAGAGACACCGAAAGCAACAGAGCAAGTTCCCCTGAGATTCGACGTGGCGGAAAAGACATCGTGGCGAAAAATTACGACCAGAGGCGTGGGCCCCATCTCCTCTGCGGCACTGCTCGCGCCCGATCGATCTGTGATGGCCCCCGGGCCAGACGCCGGGCGAAAACACCGGGCGACAAGAAATTGCAACGCCAAGACCTCAGGGTCCGCGGACTTGCCTGGGGGGCGCCGGCGTCGGCGCAGCACCCCGGATCTTCTTCCTGATCTGCCTGGCGTCCTTGCCGGCCAGCAGGAGCGACGTGAGCGCGTCGTCCTGCCCCTTCAGCGCGGCCTCGCAGGCGCGGATGATGATGAGGCACTCGGAGTTGCAGTTGCCTTCGCTCCGGGGAGAGGCTCGGTCGGTCGGACGAGGACCTCTGGTGACTCAGGACCCCTGACCTCCAACGTACAGTGGGAGCTCGATCACAAGAAACCTGCAGCAAGAAACCCAACCCTGAGACCCCAGGACGTCCATTCTTTTCCCGCGTGGGAACGTCACGCCGTCCAAGCAAAACCATCGAAACCCCAAGAAGCCCGTGGCATCCTGGATGCAAGCAGGGTGTTTCCTGGCATGGGTTTCTGCTGTGTTGCGCCGTGTCCAGCCTGTGCGGGCCCTCGCCGGACCCCGGGCCTGTGAGCAAAAACGCGCAGGACGAGAAGAGAAGCCGGCCCTGGGGGAAAGAGGGTCGGGACAACCAGGGAGGAGGAGGAGGAGGAGGAGGAGGAGGAGGAGGAGGAGGAGGAGGAGGAGGAGGAGGGCCCCGCGTTGAAACAAAGAGGAAGGCATCAGCTCTCCGGGCGGCCAGCTGCGCCCTGACACAGGGGTAGGGGTGTCTCGGGGAGGACTGGACTGGACTGGAACGCTTACGACCCTGGTGAGTTCCACTGTCGTGCGACGCTTAGCAAACGAGCACATGATATGTATAAGGATCTGCGGATAGCACGGGGCTATAGCCTGCAGCCTCGCTGGGGGGAAGCCTCTGGCCCAGAGCAGGACCGTCCAATGGGGAACGACCCGTGACGGCCTACATGGGCACCATCCTCCCAGCGGCAGGCTCGCATTAGAAGAGAGTCGAAAGTCTCCCCCAATTCAATCCTGGACGCTGGGGAGAGGTCGACGTGGGAACTGATTCGAGCAGGGGGTCGACTACAGAATTGGCTTACCCCGGAATTGATTCGCTCGTCGAATCCAGGGGAAAATGCATAGAATGCTCGGCAGATCTTCGAGGAGCGCCGAAAGTTTGTGTTATGCCGCTTTTTCTTCTTCGAGGCGTGGGAAAGGATTGGGCGGGGCGGTGGGGGCGATGCGACGCCGAAAGAAGGCGGTCGGGGCGGAGGGGTGCGGGGTGCAGAGGGCACTGGGCGGCTGGGGAGGGGGAAGGGTCGGGGGGGGGGGCGGGGTGGACAGGGCACTCGACGGGGGGGGGGGTCACGCAGGTGGCGGTGGTGGTTGGTGCACGAAGTGGTCGGGGCGGAGCACTGGGCGGGGGGGCGGTGTCACGCTGGTGGTGGTGGTGGTGGTCGGCGTGGGTGGGCGGAGGAAGCGGGGAGCGGAGGAGGACGAGAAAGGGAAGCGGGATGGGATCGGGTGGCCTGGGCTCGTCTGAAGGGGCCCTGGGACGCACAAATAAATACACAGAAATAACAGGATTCCCCTCTTGTTCCATATATCCTGTGTTTTGTTTCCCATATTTTCTGGGCTTCTGTCTTCCCCCCACTTCCCATATTTTCCTATACTTTCTGGGGAATCGACGACTCAATGTGTCTGTGTGGTTTTTCCCATCCTGATCGTCGCCCCGCCGCCGAGCCCAAACTCGCTCCCTGCGGCAGCCCTCCTGGCTGGGAGGGCCGCCCAGCTGCCCTTTATCCTCCCGGGCGCGCGGAGCTCGACGAGGGGCGGCGCCGGCGGCGCCGCCAAGGGTGTCCACCGCTGGTCCGAGGAGTCCGCGCGGACATCCGACGGCTCGTGAGCATGCGGATCCTCTTGTCGACAGAGAGAGAGAGAGAGAAAGAAAGACAAGAAAACGAAAACGAGAACGTGCATGTGTTGGTGATCTCAAGATCTACGATAACCAAAAATGGCATAAACACAAACTCGTTCTCCCGTGAATGGGCAGGTTCAGCACCGCTAGCTGGTGAACCTCCCTCTGCAGACGCGGGGCTGCGACTGACACCTAGCAGCATCTGTTGGCAAGCTGGCCGTGCCGAAGCCCTTGTCTGGTGACGCCCCCCGCCACCAAAACCAGTCCTCCGAAGAAGGGCCGCGCCTACCCACGGCCCGCCTCCAAGCCCCCCTCGATCGTGGAGGAGCGGGAAAGAGGGAGGCAGGGGGAAGGAAGAAGAGGACGACGAGGAGGAGCACGGCCGGAAGAGAGAGGCCTGTGCTCGACAGCCCTCGACCCCTGGCCCTCCTCCTCCCCCCTCCTCCCTCCTCCCTCCTCCTCCTCCTCCTCCTCCTCCTCCTTCTCCTCCTCCTCCTCCTCCTCCTCCTCCTCCTCCTCCTCCTCCTCCTCCTCCCCCTCCTCCTCCTCCGTAGCCATTTTGGCTCAAGGTTTTGGTTTCCCCTGGGAACAAAGTGGATACCGCTAGTCCGCGGCCAGCTTTCGTCTTTCGCCTGGTACGCCCCAGGCAGAGCGCCGTGCGGTCCGCCCCGCACGGCCCAGCCCCACCACGGCCCGCTTGCCCTGCCTCGCGTGGTTCCTCGTCGCGTGCGCACTCGACCTGCCCGTCCGCCAATCGGCATGGCGCCCAGGTCTCGCAGCACGGAGGCAGGCCCATGGTATTGCAAGTGGTGCAAGCATGAGCCTACAGGTACGAGCTGGATCAACCGTGGTGATCAAAAGTGGTGTGGCAAGTGTGGCATCCCCAAAGGCTCCGCCTTCTACGGGGTGCCCCCGCCCAAGGTTCCAGTGCAGCGCTCTCATGAATTGGCCACGAAGCGTGAGAAGCTCCTCACCAAGCAGTTGGAAGAGTTGCAGCAGCGCATGCAGAAGCTGGTCGGCAGTCATAATGGTACGGAGTTGGAGTCCAAGGAACCCGCCATTCCGCCCTGGGCCAAGGGCACTGGAGTGGCGGTCAAGCGTGAACGCCTCGCCAAGCTCGGCAGCTTGCTCAAGCTCCTGTCGGGGCCTGAGGACGCCGAGCAGCGGGCGGTGTATGAAGCAGAGAAGCAGCGCTTGCAGGCCGAGCTACAGGCCGACAAACCTATCGAGGCCAATCTGCAGGGGCTCACCAGTCAGCTCAAGACCGCTCGCACGAAGCTGTCCAGCATCGCTGTCAAAAAAGAGGCTGCTCGTGCGACGCTGGAGAAGGCCAAGCTGGCCCTGGCGCAGGTCGAGCAGGACGAACAAGTTGCTAACAAACATATCTTGGAGCTGGAGGAGAGGTTGCGCCATGTGGTCGGACCCGCGGTGCAGTTCGATGACAAGTCACCGTCTCTGTCCACCTTCTTGCCAGGCATGGAGGCCACGGTCGAGCAGTTCGACGCTGTGGTCCGTGCGCTGGGCGGTTCGGAGCGGTTCAGCACAGACCTCATCGCCATGCGCGCGCTGGTGCAGAAGCTCAAGGAAGCCCCAGAGGTTGCAGCTGCACCCGAACCGCCTCAGCACGAGACTCAGTCCACTCCTCCTGAGGCTCGAGAATCCATGGATATCGACGATGACGAAGACCAGGATCGTGCTAATGCTCACGTTGATGGCCTGGACGGTCGCACATGCCGTGAACATCTCAAAGAGTGTGGCATCGACGTCGACGTGGGCGGGGAAGATGACGAGATTGACGACACTAAGGAGCGTGAGCTTCGCGACAAGCTCAAGCGTCATTTGGCCCAAGTTCACTCGCTTACCAAGAAGTTCAAGACCAGTGGTGCGACCGCCGCGTAGTGTGATCGGGCGGCTTGCTGTGGTTTTGTTCTGTCTATGCTCTCTTTTTGTTGCAATGACGATGCCTACTGCCCAAGAGGAGCTGACCTCAGCTCCCAGGCGTTCTCTTATGGACGATCCTGACGTTGACCCCTTTCAATTTGATCAAGCAGCTGACAGTCAGCCTGATCTGCCTGATTCATGTGCTCAGGTTGCCCCTTCTGCGTCTTCTGCAAGGGCAGCTACTGCGACCACGGGTGCTACGCCATCGTCTCGGTCGCTACACTCACCTGTCACTAGGGGGCAGGCAGAGAGCGCCACATGTGCGCCGATTGCGTTGACGAGCTCGGCCCCTTGCTCGACGAGGGTGGATGGCTCTACTGCTGGGTGGCACGATGGCATGCATCCTTTAGACCCTGGCAGCACGCACTGCTCACCACGCTCGCCCGATGGGCATCGCGTGGCAGAGGGTACCGACTGCCCAGGGGTTCGTCGACCCGATGTCAAGGTTACTGGCCAGGTGAAGGGAAAAAGCGACTCACAAATTGTGACGCTCAACTCGAGTTCGCTGGGTCCACTGTGCGACTACCTAGTGGACAGCACTGCTCACGTGGTGCTGGCGCAAGAGCATCATGTGCCTGATACCAAACTTGGTGAGCGTCAGTCGCAAGTTGAAGACACTGGCTGGAGAGGGCTCTGGGGCCCTGCTGTGCCCAACCAGGATGGAGGGCCTGGCACTACAGGTGGAGTTGCAGTTTTGGTCAGATCACACATTCCCATCAAGGCGCCTCCTGGCCGTGCTAGTCACGTACTTGTTCCTGGCAGGCTGGTGGCTGCGCACGTCATGTCCTTTCTGCCTGGAGGAGTTGTCTTTCTGTCGGCCTACCTCAAGGACGGCGAAGGGTACGGACCGTGCAACGCCGAGCCGGTGTGGGAGATCATCGAGTACCTGTCAGTGCTCAATGGCATGCAGATCCCGTGGATCATCGGCGCCGATTTCAACATGCCGCTCACCGCCCTGGACCAGTCCGACTGGATAGCGGCGGCTGGAGGACTGGCTTTCGTTTCTGAGGCGCCCACTTGCAGGCAGGTTTCGCCAGGCACGCACCTTGATTATTTCATTTGCAGCAGCTGGCTGGCGCCAAAGCTCAACCCCCGCACGTGCGTGTTGGAGGCTGCCACCACTTACCCTCATCTCCCCGTCCAGCTTACGTTGGGGGCTCGGGAGACGCCTGTTTGGGCTCGGGTGGCCAAGGTCCCGAAAGCTTTCCCGTCGACCCCTCCCATTGGCTGTGCTAGACCTCCTATATACCCGTGGCACGCGGTTTTGACGACCGCTGCCCCGCAAGTGGACTCTGCAGCCAAAGTTGCCGATGTTTGGGATCTTGTCCTCGAAGGGGTGGAAAGAGAGCTGGCCGCCAGGTGGGACCGTGTTGGCGTTGCCGCCGAGGCCTACGTGGGCCGCAGTGGGCCTCT